GTGTGTGTGTGTGTGTGTGTGTGTGTGTGTGTGTGTGTGTGTGTGTGTGTGTGTGTGTGTGTGTGTGTGTGTACATGAATGCGTGCGTGCGTGCATGGATGCGTGCGCGCGTGTGTGTGTGTGTGTGTAAATTAAGGTTAAGCGGTCCTGAAAAAAAACCTTTATCAGACTACAGTAGGTAGCCTACTCTGCCCGACCCCCACCCCTCTCAGCAGTGCATACGTCAGTGCCGTCGCGGCCCGCTTGAACAGCGCGTGACGCGGCGGCCAGCAGCCCCATATCAGAAGCATCCATGCAGGGCTACGCAAACAGAGACGCGATCACAGCAGCCTACCATACACTAACCGCGCGCACCTCTCTAATAACCACGAGCTAGGGCTTTGACACCGGGAGGTTCGCGCATAGATGTGCGAGCCGAGCTGTGTGCGCGTAAACGTCTTCGGGTACGGAAGCGTCCGCTAGCGTTGCTATCGAATAACATATCTAGAGCAACATGTCGGTGATCTTCAGAGCTTACGTTCGCGGCAGGAAGAAGCGGATCGCGATCGTCGGCGCGCTGCTGCTGCCGTTCATGTACTTCGTCGGCGTGCACGACGTGCTGCCAGCCGACCTCGAGCCGCCGACGCCGCCGACGCCGCCGACGTTCCACCTCGAGCTGGTCGTGCTCACCTACGACCGGCCGCATTCGCTCCGTCGTCTGCTCGATTCGCTCGAAGCGGCAGAGTACGACGGCGACGCCGTGACGCTGCGCATCTGCATCGACGGGCCGCGCGACGAGGGCGCGCGCGCCGCACACGCCGAAAGCGTCGACGTCGCCCGTCGCTTCTCGTTCTCGCATGGCAAGAAGCTGCTCGACGTGCGCGAGAGCAACGTCGGCGCTTACGTGCAGTGGTTCGACTGCTGGCGGCCCGGCGAGGCTCCGCACGCGTACGGTATAATCCTCGAGGACGACCTGCGCGTATCGCCGTATTTCTACCGCTGGCTGAAGCCGGCGCTGCTCACCTACGCCGACAATCCGCAGGTCGGTGGCGTGACGTTGCAGCGGGGCACGCTCGTCGCACGCAGCGGTAAGCACCGCAACCCGCTGTGCGTCGGCTGTGGCGACACGGCCGCCTTCCTCTACCGACTACTCGGTACGTGGGGCTTCGCGCCGATGCCGCGACAGTGGCGCCGCTTCCAGCGCTGGGTGCACGAGGCGATGAAGGACGCAGAGTTCGTGCCGTACGTGCGCGACGCGCGACTCATCACGAACGCCTGGCTGCGCAAGCGACACTCCATTATGAAAACAATGCCCGCGGCGTACACGATCCACTACCTGGCGAAGAACCAACTGTACACGGTGTACGCGAACCTACCGGACAACGCGACGCTGGCGTGCAACCACCGCGAGGCGGGCATGAACTACCGCAAGAATCATGGCGACATCGTCCTCGGCGAATGTGACTTCGAGCCGCTGCGACACTGGGAGAAGCGATTCACGGAGTTCCCCTATAATCCGGTTCGACTCGGATGGGATGCGCTCCCCGAGTCCGATATGGATCCGTAACGACGTAATTGTAATTCTTCTTTTGGCTTGAAGTTTGCTATAAGGTAACCTTGCCAATGGTTTACTACACGGTTATTTGTTTCACCATCAAGCATTCTAGCCAGCCATCAAAGATCATGCGAATGAATATGCATGCTATCGTTATACTAATCAATGGAGAAGGAAAAACATTAAACTACCATTGATGACTAGGGTTACTTATACGGTATAGCCTTCCGGTCGGTAATTCTATATGTAAAAACGACGAGTTCTAAATTTATATTTTTGAGACACTATTGCATCATTCTCATTATTATAGTCATCATAACAAACATAAGCAATTTATAGAAGACCATGAAAAACCGAAGACGAAGATGGAAGAAGAAGAAGAAGAAGAAGAATAAGAAGAAGATGATGATGATGA